TCTGAACCCTAGAGATTCTCAAGGAATATGGCACTGGTCCTCAGTCTTGGCGTATACTGAAATTATCTAAGGAATCTAAAAAGTAACCCATGTCTGTGTCTCATCTTCAGGAATTCTGATTTACTTGGTTTGGCTATGGCCTAGACTTGGAGATTTTATAAACTCCCTGGGCGATTCTTAAGGGCAGTCAGGGTTGAGAGTTCTTACTCCCTTAATTTCCTATGCCTAAAGCAAGTTCAGAATTTGTATCAGCCAGGCTAGACAATTTTACAGAACGGTAACAAACTGCAGATGTCAGTATTTTAGCACAATAAAGCTTATTTTCTGTTGATATAATGTCTGCTGCAGATGTAGGTGACTCTTACGGGAAGCTCTTCCCCTTGCATATCTGGGTATTTTTTAGTCACTGGGGCAGAGGAAGAGGCATATGGGAAGTTGAGTTCTGGCTCCTATATGATTTCACCTAGAAATAACACCCAGAACCTCCATTCATATTTCACTGATGTGTGCTAATAGCAGAGCCACAACTAATTTCAAGAGGAGGAAAAGGCAACTGGATATTGGTGAACATTCATAGTGACCACCACTCAAATCAAAGTTTACTGAGAATGAAAGTGAGAAAATTGTTTTTGTATTTACTTTCATATATTTATATTGTGCTTATTCCATGGCAGATATTATTTTAATGATTTCCCAATAGGACTTCATTTAATTCTCATAATGGCTTTATTAAATTGGTACTTTTTAATGCCTATTTTTCAGAAGGTGAAGTTGAGGTTAAATATCTTGCTCTCTCAGAGATGAGACTGAATTCTAGGCAGCCTGGGCCTGGAGTCCAAGTATGGAGCTTCTATAGTATATCGCCTCTGTTTCACTTTCTCTCAACTTAGCTCCCAAGGGGTAGGGGTACAGGTGGGAGGTACAGTACAAGTGTGGGACTTGTGTATGCAAAGGAGTGGAGTAGTGCTTGTGCATCTTACTGCTGGTGCTCTAGGGAGAGCCCAGAGTGGGGTTTGGGGAGGAGGAAATGGGATGGATGGATGCTGCTGCTAAGTGAACCAAGCTGGGGGCCAGCAGGGAGAGCGACTTCTGGCCCTTGACGTTTTCCTTCCTTTTGTTCTCCATCAGAGCTATCCATTCAGCATTCGCTGATTGCAACTCGGATCTGTACTAGATTGGCACAGAAATGGAGAGCAGGCAGGGGAGAAACATCAGTCCCGTTGAGAGTCGTGGTTGGGCCATTTGTACATAAGAGATCAATTTATCCAGGTACATTTCTGAAAACTGATATATAATTACAACTACTATCAAATAAGCTACATTTTAAATCCTCAAAGGAGGAATGTTTAATAAAAGAATCCTTTGGAGACCCGGTAGTAATTACAAATCAATTGCTAATGAATCATTTTTCTGAGGCTCTCCTTCTGTTCTGGCTCCTGTTAGGCTGGAAGACACCTGCAGTGGAGCTGCTTTCATTCTGCCCTGTCTTTGGAGTCAGTGAACACTTCCAGGGATTGGAACTCTAGGTTCCCACAGACAGCATCTCTCTGATTACCAAACCTCATGACACAGATGAAAAGGACAAATGATTCTGCCTTCAAGTGGAATTTTTGTAACAAAATAAACAAACCAACAAAACAAAGCCCTTTGTGTGACACTGAAGCTTTTTTGTTCCTGTCTTGCTCACCTGTTAAATCCTGTGGTTTGGTCACAACATATGGACTCTGTCTACAAAACACTCTCAAATGCTATACCGGCACCTTGCTGCAATCTGCCAACTTGTTCCTTAGGGCTGGCTTCCCATGGTCCTGCTGCTGCTGCTGCTGCTGCTCTATTTTCCTTAACTCTGTTTTGATTGGGATCTGTTGAGAATTGTTGCCCCGGTTTCTCTTCTCTTTCTGTGCAGAGTCAGAGATTGCTGGATGTTGTTATCAGATGGAAACAAGATCAGGCTATTTTTTATTATCCAGTAGGAGCTCTGGCTACAGGGTCTGGAGCCCTGATTCTAGTTTCTATGCAGAGGACTCTAAAAGCACTGTGTTATCTTGGATAAGGCACTTGCTCTTTCTAGGTCTCAGTTTGTTCCTCTATAAAAATGAAAATTTAAACTAGAAGATTAAGAAAAGTGAGTGATACAGTGATTTAGCACTTTACAACCACAAATTACTTTTTAGATTATTTTTAGAATAATCCAAAAATTATGATGTTGTGCAGTTATTAAGGACAAAGCAGAAAAAGATGAACTTTTAATTAAATCTGCAGATAGAAATAAATGGGGATGCTCTACCAGTAATTGTGTGACTGTGTCTTAATGGAGTCCGAAAGGGTTTCCTCTTTGGGAAGTGTGAGCTAATACACCCACAGAAGAATGATCAGGAACAGGATATTTATACTAGATGGGAAATGCCGGGAAGCTGAGATGTTAAATCAATATCCAGAGGCGAGATGTGGGCAGCTGATGATGTGCAAAAGAACATATAGATTTGAAATAGTCCCTGTTAATGATGATAGAATTGTCATACATGCTAGAAGTCTAAAATAGCAATCTATGAAAAAATACATAATGAGCCTGCCTATTTGCTCACTGCTCCAGTCAATGAATGTTGGATTAGTCTAGAATCTTTTGAACACAGGTCACATAAGACTCATCAGAGAGGGGAAATTCAATTGGGTGTTTGAGGCTGGGGTGGTGGTGTGGGTTTTGCACTCCCCTTCCAGGGACATACACCCTGCTCAGCTGCAGGGAGGAAGCCCTAACCTTTGAGGACACATCCTGACTTCTGCCTGTGGCAGACTAACCACAGGGATCCAATCTGTGTCAGTCTCCTGTTGTTTAACTAAAGAGACCTCAATGCATATACAAGACATTGTAGCTATAGGCGATAAGTCTGCTTCAACAGCAGTACTTTAGATAGACATCTAGAATAGCCAGTGTCATTCATTCAACCTAGTCTCTTGATTTTTTCTTCTTCTTCTTCTTTTCTTTTTTATAAAGAATCTTAATGCATCAAGGTTTTTTTTTTTTTTTTTTTTTTTTGCTTTGTGTCAACCTATTAGGTTTGCTTAGCTGCCCAAGCCCTTGGCCGGCTGTGGAAATTTCAGAGGGGAAAAAAAGACCCTAGGTAAAGCTTGGATCCTGGTTCATTTAACTCTCTCTGGCCCTTAGTCATGAGGGAGGGATCCCAGAGGGAGACAAGGGGTGGAGGAGAAAGAGAGAGATCTCCTATGTGTAAGGCAGTGGTAGAGAAAAGGGGCAGGGGATACACATTACAAAATCAGACTCAGCGGGAGGGCAGGTTCCGAGGTGGGTGTTAGCCCAAGCCCATCCAGAGGATTCCCTCTGCTTCTAGCAACTGTGATTATTTCTGAAGCAGTTAACTGCTTCCCTGGCCTGTTCTGACCCCAGCTGAGGGGCTGGCTGCATCCACCTTAACTTTCCACGTCTCCACTCAAGACTTCGCCCGCCACCCAGCGCTGACCCTGCTGCAGTGCATTTTTGATCTCCACACCGAGTCCGCTCCACACGGTCATCTGTCCCCAACAGGCCCGGGTGGAGCCACTAGAGGACTGACTCCTGCTTCTCCAACTTGAGCGCCTACATCTACCTGGCGAGGTCGCTACAACGGAGTTCAGACTCGGGCCCCAGAGTTCCGGGTTCCCTAGCTCTGGGGTGGGGGGACCTCCAGATGTGCATTTTTAACAAGTTCTCAGGTGGTGCTGATGCTCCCACTTCGGTTCGGGCCACTTTGAGAATCAATGCCTTAGATTAAAAAAGAAGGCGTCGCGGCTTGGCCTCCCTTTATTCATTTTTTAAAAAAATTCTCGCTCCATTTGCACTTAAAGCATTCCCCCTTCTCTGTGGAAGTCCCCGGATTGTGGACTTCTTCGAACGGTGCCGCTCGTGTCCCCGGTCCTGAAGGCACTGAGGGTGCTTCGAGGCGACTCCCGCCCGGCCCCAGCCCTGCGCGGCTTCGCCCGCCCTCGCCGCCTTCACCGCTCTGCACGCCGGCGCCGCCGGTTGCCGCGCTGCCTGGCCCGCGGGCGTGAACTGCCCCTCTTCCTCTCCTGCCGTCCAGGCGAAGCTTTTCAGTAACTTTGAAGCCGAGCCCGGGCTCGCCGGCGGCCTCAGCCCTCGGGGAGCTCGGGGCACGGCCAGGCGGGCGCAGCTCTGCGCTCGGACCGCGCGCTCCGGCTGGCTCCGGGGTGCGGGGCGGCTGCTGGCGCCGGAGCCCGCAGAGGGGCGTAGCAGCGTCAGGGGGCTGCTCCGTGTCCCCGCGCGCCGCCCCTCCAGTCCCGACGCCGCGCTCAGCCTGGGCGGCTGCGGGAGCCGCATCCGCAGGAGCTGCGGATCCGGGGGCGAGGCTGCGAGTGACCCCTGCGGTCGCCCTCTCTGCGCCCGCCTCTCCCCCTCCTCTGCCCACAGTGGACCGCCCCCGGGGAGCGCGCGCCAGGACCTCGGGGGACCAGGAGAGGCCGCCGTCACCCGGCGCTCAGCTGCACAGAAGTTGGGCTGCGTCGGGCAGCTGTGATCCAGCTGGGCGACACGGGTGGGCTGGGGACCCGCAGAGGAAGGCGCGGTCCAGAGGTCTCGTGCTCTCTGAGGAGCCCTGGACGGGAGGCTTGAGGTCGTTCCTTCTCGCCCGGGAGCCCGGGGCTCGGGCCAGTGAGAGAAATGCTGAGCCCGCGCCCAGGCGACCGTCGCCGCGGCCGCAGCCCCAGCTTTAGCACCGGCGGGACAGCGACAGCGGGGGCGGCGCAGGCGCACTGTGCCCGGCGGAGCCTGCAGTTCCCGAGCCCCGTGTGCGGCACTGCCACAGTCTGGGCAGCGGCGGCCGGGGGAGCGCTACTACCATGAACTGCCTGGTGCTCCTCCCCAGAGCTGCTCATCCGGGTCGGGCTGGAGACACAGTCAGGGGACCCCGCCGCTGCCGCCGCGCCCCCTCTTCTTTCGACTCGCTCTCCTCCACCTTTTCCTCCTCTTCCTCCCGCTTCTCTTCCTGCTTCCCCCCTCCCCCGCCGCGGATCCTGGCCGCTGCTCTCCAGACCCAGGATGCCGGGGGGCAAGAGAGGACTGGTGGCACCGCAGAACACATTTTTGGAGAATATCGTCAGGCGCTCCAGTGGTAAGGAGAGTTGCCGTTCAGAGCACCCCCACCTGCACCCCGCCCTCGCGCGCCCCCCCATCCCATCCCTGTCCCGAGGAGGGGGGAGGGGGATGCAGGGCTGCTTTACCTGGGGGCTCCAGTTAGAAGCTGGACTTGACTTGGGGTAGGGGTTGGGTGGGCGGGGGTGGAAAGGAGGTGGTGGAAGAAAGTTAGTTGAAGCTCCTTCCCAGGAGAGGTATTCCCCCTCCTACCTGATCAGAGGCCGGGGAAGGGGTTGGTAGAGGGTAGGTGCATCCGGACAGACTTGGCTTTGAAGAAGGCTGTCTTTCTTCATCCTTTGTCCACATTTTTCCTTAAGTAGGCTGCGGGGACTGACCACATTCTTAGAGTTAATCTCCGGGGTTTCCTTTAGATTGGGGGTGGCTGCTTAATCAGATTTAAGTCTCTAGAAGGTTTCTCCCCCCCGCCCGCCCCCCCAGTGCGCGTAGCTGAAAGGTACTCTATGTAAAGGACGGTAGTTGGAGTCTAACCTAAAAAGGAGACTCAGTTCTTGAGAAATGGGAAGGCAATTATTAGGGCCAAATTTGTATTTAAAGTTTCTGGTTTTTTATTGTTTTCACTCTAAACTGGTCTGTATGATATATTTCATTGGGCTTAGAGAGGAGAAATGTAGAAATGAATCAGTAGCTACTGTACTTTTTAATGCAACTGTAGAAAGAATTTAAAAATAGCATCCTACTTTGCTACTGGTATTAAGGTTTTCTTGCCATGAAGTGTCTTTAAAATACCATTTATACATGCATTTTTCCAACAATATATTCTGGATGGAAATGGCCATATATTTCACATTTAAAACTGTGCATATTTTGCATTTTACTGAAAACTGTATCTTTTACCTCTTTTTAATTCTTTCCTACACATTTCAGCATCATAAGCAAGATATGTTGAGTATCCTTTAAAGTTTTTCTCTTCAGAGGCCTGTTATTTTATTAGGAGGTCCTATGCTTGGAGAGAGACAGTTCTATGAGACACAGTTCTGCATATGGAATACAGTAGACATTGGAACAAAGCAGTGGAAACTCTATGCTGTGCAGTTCCATAATTTCTTTTTGATTCATTGAAACATTTACTTGGGTGCCTTTACAGCACATACTCTGTGGGTCCTTTGGATAAAAAAGTGACTAAGACACCTGGACTGTTTTCAAGAAACTCCTGCCTTATAGGCAAGATGGAAGTACACTCACATGCTAAGAAACAGTCAGACACTATACAACAATGCTTCCTCTGAGTTCGTAAATTAGATTATACTGAGTCGTAGATTAGGATCTCCTTTAAAACAAGGTTTGCAAATATTTCCCCTTAGTCTGGGACTATATGTATTAGAGTGTCCTGAAGTGTTTTTCCTAAATCTCTGACTTGGTATATGGTTTTAATTTGGGGTTTGTGACATTATTTCTTTCCCTTTGGCCAATGCCTGATATTAAACAAATCTGAAGCTTCATTGTTATGTTTAGGTTGGAAAAACAATAGCTAGTGGGGTCTGGTCTAGCATTCATTTTAATACCTGTAATATTATTAGCCATTCCAGGGTGACTTCATAGTTTTCAATTTTTATGATATAAAATATAAATTCATAACAGTAGCAATTTCAGTATTTATCCATTAACTTTCTTGTATTGATATCATGCATAGGTCTAGAATACAAGGGAATATTACTATTAAAACAATTGTGGGAGGATCAGAATCAGCTATTTGGGATAGACGAGTCTTATTTCATTTTTCTCATCCTCTTGGCTTTTTCAACTCCATGCAGTTTGGCCCATGAGAGGACTTTCCCCAGAACCCTTAGGAATAAAACCCACAGGCTCTCTGCCGCTCTGCTCAGTAGAGAGGAAGATAGTAAGAATCCCTTGATGGAAGTTTATACTATAGCATCTTTGGTTGAAACTTCTTATACAGACTATAATGATGAGCTCATTTTTAGAATATGTTTCATTTCAGATGTAGCTTGAAATTAAGATTTACCTTATGTAGCCCAGAAATACCTGCTTCTGTTGCTTCCATTGTATGTCTACCATCCAACTTAGTGAATATTTTATCTTTTGTACACTTCAGATTCATAATTGCTTCACTGGTTTCAGTGTTTCTTTCCATGTATGTGAAACTCCAAATGTGAGTGAAAAATGTATGTTTTAGCATTTGCAAATTCCACCTGTAATTGCCTGAGATAACTTTGAATAGCACTATTTAAAACCCTTGAGGTTTGTTTGAAAGGGATTGGGTATTTGAAGTTATAAGCACATCTCTAGATAAGTACTGAATAGTCTTTCACAGGAGGTACCTCAGAAATTGAGAATTATGGTATGAAGTTGATCTCCATATTCATGTGGGAATATCCCTCAGTTGTCATTTCTCTATGATTTGGCAGGGAAATTGAAAAATTCATCCTGCGAGATTGTTTAATTGAGATTAATAGAGAAAATTCCCTTCAGGATTCTCAGAGATGGATCAGGTTTGTCACACTGAAGATTTCATTAATCACTAACTTTACAACATTGGAAGGGAAGTGTTGGTAGAGCTTTAGTGAGAAAAGAAAGGAAAGGAGCCAGCACCCTCAATGGGTTTAAGACCCGAGGAAACAGAGTGGTGTTGGATTTTGACCTGTACCCCAGGCAGAGCTTTTCTTTCTGATACACCATCATTTGGGTGCTTATCGGAAGATCAGATCTTGTAGTGAGAGTCAGGCAAACATAGAAATATATATAAGCATAGATGTACAGAGGACACAGAAGCATACAGATACGTGGATGGGAACATTCAAAATCCTCTCTACTCGCTGTTTTGAAAAATTGAATCAATTGGTGTTAACCATAGTTCAGGTTAACAAATTTTTGGCTAGTAATATCAAAATATGTTATTATGAAAGGAGGGCTTGAGAACTGTGTGGTGAGGTCATTACATCTGAGCAACATCACCTAGAAGTCCCCTGCCTCAAGTGCTTACTAACTGGATCTGTGTGGAACAGTAGTAAGACATCTTCCCTTATTAGAATTTTAATTGTTTATGCAAGGTATTCATCAATATTAATTAAGTATAGGAAGCAGCAAACTTGTGTATAGAGGTTAAATGCTTGAAAGAAAGCAACTGGTTTTTAGGATGTCTAGGTGGAGTTTTAGATTCAGCAGCAAAAATGTTTCAAAGTTCTCAATCTGGCCATGTCTTTGGGCAGCGCATTTTATTCATGTATTGTCTTTGATTTTATAATGGGTAAGCACAAGTGATTGGTTTGTTTGAGAGTAAATTAAGTTGCCAGTCTGAAAAGTTACAACTATGAATTAACATCTTTTTATTGGAAATTTATTAATATTTTAAGCACTATGAAAAATTAGACCTGTTTTTCTAGTTTTATGAAAAACTAGAAGTGTTTTTCTCTTTGGAGGAGAAAAGGGCCCAGGGAAGATCAAACATAGTATTTTATAAGTCACTGATTCTCCAAGATGAGAAGCTCAGTACCCCCCATTTCCATTTTTTGGGAAATAGCTGGGTTGCACACCTGCTTACTCAGCCACTTCTTACTTATACAAAGTCCAAATTTATCTTTGTGTTGTAATTGATGTCTGTAAAAATCGAGATCTTAAAAGATTCCCAGATGAGAGAAAATGCAGAACTAGTAATTTCAAAACAAAACAAAACAAAAAAGGGAATACTCACTTTTAAGTGATTATCCAGTTTCAAACAAATTGTGAAAAGCAAGTGGATTTATTTTTCTTACAAAGTTCTTGATATATTTTTCTGGAAAGGTTTTCTGTAACATCCAAGACACTATTCAGGAAATATTGATAAAACCACATGATGTTTTGGAAGCATTGGTTCACCCACGTCTTATAATGTCCCACTTTAACATTTAAAATATCAAAGAGGTTGAAATTATACTGACCACTTCCTAAACCATATTGATAAATAAACCAGAGCGTTGCCTTTTGCTTTCAAGCCCACACTGCGTTATATAACAAAGGCAGGGCATTGCTGACCAAGGGCTGTCTACTTCAGGGCACCACTGTGGGAACTAGAAATCACCCTTTTCATTTTTCTTTCACTTGATTCTCGAAGTAGGATGTGTAAGAAATCCGTTTACTTAGTCATCTTTTCACTGACCTACTTAAATAAAACCCATATAAGCCACTATTTTTTTTTAACAGAAGGGAATAATAATGCCTAATTTAACTGATAATGATTGAGTAGATTTCCATAAAGAAATCCTTTAGGTTAATCAGTGCTTATTTTTTACTTTCTCATTGGGATCAATAGCTGTTCCCTGGCTTAGAGGAATAATGCTTCCTCATTCCCCAGTGAGCCTAGGTAAAGATTGCATGGTTCACCGAAGTTCTGTAGTTACCGCTCACCACAAGAGGTCACTATAGGTTCTGTCACAGGTGAACCAAGTCTTCAACATCTTTCCTTGGCTCTCCCCTTCCCTCCACCTCTCCAAATGAGACTGGTGGGGAGTCAGTGTGGTTAGTTGTTCTTCCTGGAAGAAAATATCTAGAATGTAAGACATACAGGGAGTTCAATAGTAAGGCACTTATTTCAGTTATTAAAATTTACTTTAACTGATGGTGACCAATGAATGAATGTGATTTTAATAAAAATATTATAATGCAATATTAATTAATAAAATATACTTTAGATCAGTTGCGCAGTTTAGCATAGTAATAAATTTTATTGTAATATGCAACTTCAGGGTCATGGTAACATATAAAAACAAGTTCTGTAGAATAATGTCACGTGCATAATGCTTCATAGTAGGAAAATCACTACATATTTCCTATTTCAACCAAAGATTTCCTCTATTTAAAGTCTTTTTATAACTTATATTACATTTGTGAGGTAGAATCAGTTTAATTTTATTGAAAGGTAGTTCACAGGTAGTTACTTTCATAGGATGTTATGTGATTCTGGTATTTTGATGTTATCCAAATATTAAAAACACAAAGCTAAAACAAATTGCCCTTAAAGTT